GGAATTAAAAATATTGGCAAAAAATTAGCAAAAAAAGGAAAAAAATCGATAGTTAAATTCAAAAGATGAAAAATTACTGAATATGAGAAATCATTAATATATTCAGAGAAAGAGGAACAAACTGGGAAAAGTGCACTAATGGGTGAAATTAAGGGGGTAGTTAGATTAAAAAAAAAAAAGCGAAAAATCTCGAAAAATATTTAACAAGGTAAAATTAATTGAGACTAGTTTGAAAAGAGTCAAGTTGAGATCTTTAAAGGGAAAAAAAAAGCAAGTAGAAAAGAAGAAAAAGGAGGAAGAGAAAGAGAAAAATGATGAATAATTTAGTTAATTGAATTTGTAATTTTTTAATAAATTTTATGAAATTTGAATTTTTTGCCATAGTAATTTTTTTGCTAAATTTTTTTTCTACAGTAATTTTTTTACCAAATTTTTTGTTGCAATAATTTTTTTGTCAAATTTTTTGCCACAGTATCAATTTTTTGCCATAGTATCAATTTTTTTGCTAAATTTTTTGTCGCAATAATTTTTTTGTCAAATTTTTTGTCACAGTATCAATTTTTTTATGGAATTTTTTGTCACAGTATCAATTTTTTGCCAAATTTTTTATCATAATATCAATTTTTTTGTTGAATTTTTTGTCACAGTATCAATTTTTTGCCAAATTTTTTGTCATAGTATTAATTTTTTTGTCAAATTTTTTGTTGCAGTATCAATTTTTTTGTTGAATTTTTTGCCACAGTATCAATTTTTTTGTCGAATTTTTTGCTGTAGTATTAATTTTTTTATCAAATTTTTTATCGCAAAATTTTTTTTTGCTGCAATATTGATAGATTTTGTGTTGAATTTTTTTTTTTTGCTAATTTTTTGCCAATATTTTTAATGCCGAGTGGCAACAATCATAAATAATTTGTCAATCTTTTTATTATTAATTTTTGCCAAATTCAGCAATAATTCAACAGCCGAATAACATAATTTTGACTAATAATTATTGATGATTGAAAAAAATATTTCAGAAATATTCACTTTCAAAAGTTTAAGTCTTTTAGTGAAAATATCTATAATATTAAAAGATCAAGTGATGAATAATATGAATTGCAGATTTTTATCTTTTACTCAAATTCTTTAGATAATGACAAAACTTTAATAAAAAAAAAGTTAAGATCCAAATACTTTTCTTGAAATATTTTAATTTAGTACTTACTTAAATAAAAGATCAATTAGATTGACTTATTTGATATCACAGATAGTAACAAAGCAGACTTTTTTTAAGGTTTAAGTGAAATAAAAAGATTATTCCAATCAAGAAGATTCCTTTTAAAAGAAGATTATTTTTATTTTTAGACTTTTTTGATAAACCTTAAATTGTCTCTTTCCTCTTTTTTCATTTTTCCCCTTCTCCTTTTTAATTTAACAATTCATTAGTTTTCAGATTAATCAATGGTGACAAACTGTTGACAATAATCCTAGTAGATAAAGGTTATTATTAATTTATTATAGAACTATAATATTGTTCTTAAAATCTGATTTAGAATAAAGACAAGCTATCATGATATGATTGCAAACTAATAAAAAAAAAAAAATTTTTTTTTTTGTTTATTTTATAAATGTTAAAAAAAAAAAATCAAAATCAAAATAATATTTTAAATAATACAAATATACATTTTAATTGAAAAAAAAATAATTATAAATAGAAATAAATTATTTTTAAAAAAAAATAATAAAAAATAAAAATAAAAAACAAAAAAAAAATCGGGAATTTTAAAAAATATCAAATTTAAAGTAGAAAATTTGATCTGATCTAATCTGCTATAAATCCTATTTATAATTTATTAATTTTATTATTGATACAATAATTTAGATTATAGAATCAAGTATTATTTAATTTTTTTTATATTAATTAACTATCAATTAGTTTTACAATTATTTTGGTTCTTTTTTTTTTTTAGTATTTCATTAAACAATCTTCATTTTTTTTTCAAGTAAATAATAAATAAATTTTTATTGATAATTCAAATAGCATCACTACGTTTTTAAACAGATTCTTATTATAATGAGCCGTGTTTCTTTGTAAAATAATAAAATCTGACACTGGTTTATTAGATAACAGACATATAGTAATAAAAGAAATAATGTTTATGCAACGTTAAATTACAGTACATAAACCCCGATAACAAACGAATCTTCTTTCATAACGATCAATTCTATGTTCTAGATGTAGTACCTCCAAAAACAACACCAACACCTCATCACTGCCGATCGTATCAATGATTTATACACTTTCCTCGCTGGTTTTATTTAGGTTACCACTTTCAAAAGAGTCATCGAGTTCAATTAAGTGCACTAGAATACTGTTTATGAACCTTTTCTTCGCTCGACTCGTCTGGGTTAAACACCCAACTCTTATTCAAGCTGCTATGCGAGTGATTACTTTGTCTCCTCGTTGTGAGTTGTCGAGATCCGGATCGAGGAAGATAAACATCTTGTCGGTCCCAAGCTTGAAAACCTGTCGCTATTGTAGAATATGATGATGATGATGATAGGGACGGGGCTGATTCATCTACAAAGTTCTCAAAATCCTTTTGTGTTTGTCGAGCGTATGTTTCTGGGCAACTTGAGCCGTATAGGCTTGTATGCCGCTGATGAGTGACCCGTAAATTCGATTGAGAGTTGGGAGTCCGGATGCTGATGGGAGATGTAGGAGTTGTAGGTTGGGTAGTGGACATTGGTGAATCATCTGGATTCAAGAACAGAAAGAGCAAAAGGATAAATATATAGCATATTTCAAGACGAAAAACCATAAAAATTTATAATACCAGATGTCGATGCTCCTGAAATGGATCTTGAACGTCTTCGAAGGTTGCTTAAAGTTAGGTTCCCTAAGGACAAGGAAATTTTACGCATCTTTTTCTTTAGACGATCCTGAGTTTTCATTTAACAAAAAGGTTAAAGGAAATTCAACGCTAAAAATTTTATTAAAAAAAATAATTTTGCTAGGGAATAGCATTACAATTAAGGTGTAAGCGCTTTTAACTTCTTCGTCGGTAACCGTCAAAGCCTGATACCTCTTCGGATCAGTCTCCTCCCTCCATTTCTGCGGGTTTGGTAGATCGGCAATAACCCATGGATGTTTCTAATTGCGAAATAATTTGAGAAACGATGACGACTCGAGCGAATTCAAATATTTCAAACTATAAAATACAATACTAACTTTAACCTCCTCCAAGGTTATCCTTTTTTGTGGATCTTTTTCCAATAATTTCATCAGTAGATCTTTAAGACTATTATCAATAGGTATGTCGATGGGAAATTCCAGTTCTTGGCGAGGAATGACGTGAAAAAATAACTCAAACTCGGTGTCTGCTATGAAGGGACATCGACCAAAAATGAAACAATATAACGTCACACCGAGTGCCCAAACGTCAATAGATTTAGTGATAGGAGGTCGTTGCGCATGTACAGATGAAGAATTTGTTGTTTCAGCACTAACATTAGTTATCGACGCAGGCGTTAAATCTCTTGAGATGTCGCCTGTGAATTCATCGATCAGCAAGGGTAACGAGAAAAGTATAGCAAAACAGCTTATAATAATTACCAGGAAGGCATAACTCTGGAGCAAAGAAAGCTGGACTTCCCGCGGTTTTGACCAAATCCATTTCTTCCTGTGCGGACGAACTCGTGGAGCGTTGACTGAAATGCGATACACCAAAATCGGAAATCTTAACGACGTGATCACCCGTGAGCAGCAAGTTGGCCGGTTTAATGTCTCGATGTATAATTCCTTGATGGTGAACTATTGTATGATTAAATACGTATCTATGTTAACACGAGAAAGATGTGGTAAAATGACATGAGAATAGACAATTTATCACTCACGATATTCCAATCCCAATACAACATCCCTAAAGATCATTCTCGCTTCGTCGACACTCATGACAGGGCGATCGTTTTCGTCTTTCCATTGTATCTCACCCCCTTCCACATATTCTAAGACTTGTGGTTTGAAGTTTTGAGAAGAAAGGAATATTTGATTAATTACCATTCTATTAACTTAATATCAAAGAACAAATACGAATTTACTAATGGCTGGAACCTACACCTAATGTATTGCTATGAATCCACAGTGATTCTTTTCTTTAAGGTGTTTCGATCCAATGAATTAACATACCCATATATATCTTTCTGCTCATTGGGTCGTCGATGACTTCCTTCAGACTGACGACATTCGGATGTGTGCATTTCTTTAATATCGCAATTTCTTTACGGATTTTTTGTTCGTTGGTCAGATCGTTGTTACGTGAGCCTAACCGACGACGAGATGAACGATCAACAATTTTAATGGCCTTGACAAATGCATTTAGTTCCAATGTAATTAAAGATGTCAAAAAGTCATATCAAGTAAACATTTAACCCAGTTGTGACTCAATATATAAAAGAAATGAAACACTCACAACCCATTCTCCCAGATCCAGGTCTCTCCCCAGCTTAACCTTTCCGTGTACGCCCCTACCCAATTCCTTGACCAGCATATACTTGTTAATTATTTTGTTTCCTGTCGTAGGATCATACTCTTTGTACATTGTATGTGTTTCTTTCACTTCCAATGTTGGTGTACTATTACTCCGATGAGCAACCGGTTTGTCCCTTTTTCCTCGTTCCAGATTTTGATGATCATTATTATTTGTGTGCGACCCAAAAAATGAGAATATGAATTTTGATGAGGTGGGTGATGCTAAAAATTTATTTGATTCCTTGGATGGGGTCGAAGGAACAGATGTAATTGATTCTGATGATCGATTCTGATAAACATCTTCATAGGAGGATCCCCTGTGCGAAGAACGGTGGGTTAGTGTTAATCGACCTTGATCAGAATTTTGTAATGATGGACTTTTAGGTCCACTATCGCTCAAAGAAGAAATTTTTACATTAGGCTTCGACCCACGTAGACTTTTAAGACTAAGGCGTGATCGCTTCTTTTTTTCTGGTAGTATTTGAGAATTTGACAAAGGCGTAACTGAAGGAAAATTTTCCTCTGAAGCTAATGCTAAGAAATCTTCGGTAGATCCTTGTCTAGAATTTTTATTGATTAAATTATCAGCTTCCAAGGTCTCGATTTTTCCCTCCGTCCTTGACGCAACAATAAAATCATTTCTTGACGAATGCTTTCTTGCGTCAGTGGTGACTTGTTTTTCAAACCCTATAGGTTCAGATGGAGTAAGATATTGTGACGAATCTATTACTGGAGTGGGTATATCCGTTGGATTATATCTAATCGTTGAGGAGGTAGCAGTACCGCTTGCACCACTGCCCCTGCGTGCAAATAAGGGGGCGTGAGTAGGTGACGGAAAAGATAGTGAAGATGTAGATTTCGGTGTTTTGGTGGTAGTTTCTCGATTTTCTTGCGAAAACATACTTCGCTCAAGTGTGAATGTTTTTTGTATTTAATTTTTACTCTTTTTTTTTTTTTTCAACGGAATGCGTTGAACAAGTATATAGGTGCAGAATTTTCTTTTATTCAGTAAGCTGGGAGAAAAAAGTACCAAGAAAGCGTGGAGACTTGACCGCCATGTGCTCGGAAGAGGCAAGTCCAAAAATAGTTTCTGTCTCTCTATGGAAAAAAACGATTGAATTGAAATACGTTTCAATTTCTCGGCAATGTATATTTGATGATCGTCACGTGTTAATAAAAACTGACCAATAGCGACAGTTTTATTAACCCAATATGCATATGATTCTTTGAATAGATAGAGATAACTCTTTGTAGCATGGAGCCGCCAATCGTCTATTATCCGCGTCTGGAATACATCGAAACAGTAAAAATCGGATTTTTTTTCCTTTTGACCTTCGTTGAATTCGACTTACGGTTGTTCGTCTCTCCAATAGGATACAGGTAATAAAGTAAGTCGCAAATCCGTAATTTGTGGGAGTCAGAATATCATACTTGGTGGAAAGGTGGGTACATCAGGAGTAAAAGGAAAAAAAGTATCCGTCTGCGATATCTCAATAGAAAGTTTCCGCATTTCAGACCATTATCCAAACGGATTGCGTTATCCGAGGCGATTTGAGGCGTACAGGGGGTGGTCACGCTGTGGTAGTTGCCATCGGACGATACTGTCTTTTATCCAAGGGGAGCATCATTCGACCTCCCTATAAAACTTACAAAGGGTATGAGTTCGGATCGTACTATGTGACCTTCGTTTTATATAGTCAAAACAGATTAACCTGAAAACGCGCAACTCTTTAGGATTTTCAGTTATTATCCGATGAAGATAGGTGATCACGTTTCGATCGGAGAGGGTAGCATTGTCGAAGCGGCCACAATAGGTTCATTCGTGCACATAGGAAAGAATTGCGTTATCGTAAGTATTAAAATCGCAATTATCGAGGGTTTTAGCTAATTTTTAAAACTCAATATTATAATTGGTAACAAATTTTCCTGTGCTTACAACATTATAGGGACGTTTCGCTATTATTAAAGATTGCTGTCGAATTGAGGATAACACTGTGATACCTCCAAACACTGTTGTTCCCTCTTTCTCAATCTACGACGGATCTCCTGGTCAGTTTGATGCATATAGCTCATGACCAACCTAGTTGCCTTATACTAACTATAACTTTATTTCGTCCAGGTGTGTTCGTTGATGAATTGCCGGAATGTGTTCAGGATCTTTATGAAACAAAGACGAAGGATTACTATGCCAAATTCCAACCTAAGGATTGAGACGAGAGCTACCAGCAGCAACATCAATATATTGATCGTAATCCTATTCAATCTCATACGAATTCTATCCGTTCGAAAGAAGAAAATTTCCTATTTAATATAATTTTAATGTTGGTCGTTGTTGTGCAGGCATTATTGGTACGAAAGTTATTTTTTGATAATACGTTACGTCCGGCACGCACATGTTCGGAAACATCCACCGGACAATCTACTTGATACTTATGCTAAGCCAGTGACGAATATTATTAACAAGATCCATTTCGTAATAGTTTTAATTTTTAGTGCAACAATCAAAATTCTTCTCTTGATGAGCTTCTTGCTCAGATGTGACACATATAGACTTATTAACATTGACGATAATGTCCGCTAACATTAAATTCTTTCTGATGGGAAAGTTTTAATTTACTCCTTTCTTTATTATTCATATCTTCAATTTGAATCAATAATTTAAAGCATTTATTTTCAAGGCTGGCATTCATTGGCAGGTGTTGTATTTGCCCATTCAGAAAACAACCATTATTTTTCTTTTCAATTGATTAATAAACTGACAATCTAGCCTGGCTACAGGTACTCAAAAAAAAAAAAAAAAAATTGTATAATAAAACATATATAATTAGGGGTCAAAAAAAAAATAATAATAATAATACTTTTATATACTGTAATTTAATCTTTTTATACTGCATATACAGTATATACAGTATATATTTTAAAATATAATTAATTAATATTCAACTGCAATTTGATTCGATGCGTAGTTATATTTTTAGTTTTTGAATTATAAATAATCTAATAAGCTGTAGCAGTCATATTTATTTAAAAAAACTAAAATAAAGTTTTAATAATACAATTATATTAATAAACGGCTCTAAAGTTTTAAAAGAAATATATCCTAACCTAAAATTGCTTTTGAAATATAATGAAAAGATAATTTGATGATAAATAATAAATAAAATAATTATTCATAACGTATTACCACCTTTCAAATCTTTCATATAGAGTCCTACAGCCATTAAATCATCCTTTCCACCAGCTGCTCGTAAATAACCAGCTAATACATCTCTATCCTCGTGCGGTAGTACATCGCATAGTCTATTTAAAGCTGTTTCATCAACGACAACTGAACTAGACGAATCACTGTTACTCTTTTCTTCAATAGTAGTGGAAACGGTGGGAGAAGGAGAATTTGAACTAAAACTAAATCTAGAAGATACGGCCTGAAAACTAAATCTTCTTTGACGCGAGCTCTTCAGCGATTTCGAATTGACCGAGGAATTAACAGCTGGATCATTCATTACAGGTGGAGGCATGTGAACAGTTGATCGGTTGGATTTGATAGAATTTCCATGTCGACTTTTGCTGGAGAAAAAATTGGAAGATTTCAATTTAGGTGACATGGGCGGAGATGATTGTCGACTTTTCGAACGGTTCGTATCTAAAGATGTTCGCAATGAAATTGATGACTTGGAGGACTTGGAAGAATTCAGAGAATTCGGCGAATTGGGGGTATTGATATCAGCAGAGCTATCAATGATAGTTTCAGGAGTTGACAAAGCTGGTTGACTGCTAGTGCTAGTGGCTAAAGTAGGATTGGAATAAATTTTATTTGCTGCAGCGCTAGCGAGAGTTGGTGAAATTTTGTTCTTTTTTCTATAATCTTAATAAAATAAGAAGATTAATGATTCAAATACGCCCATAAAAATTCACATAAAAAATAATCTATCAAACGCCAAATATTTAACATACTTTTTACGGGTAACGGTGGTTCTTTTTCTCTATTTAAATTAAGCCATAAATGTAATCCGGTTTCTTCCTGTTTTAGCAACTCCAATTTTGCAGCTATGTTATAATTTGACCGAACAAATTTACATATTGGTTATTACTGAATAGATCGCCAAATGAATTTCTAATAAACGATAAATATTTCAATTCAACCACATCAGCCGTACCATAAGCATTGGTTCTCTGTACACAGCTCCTTACTTGTCTAATGTCAGCGGAAATCAGTGCTACAGGTGGTACGCGCGTCTTCCTCAGCATTGGGTTTATCGTGTCTAATTGAGATGAGGGTATATCTGACACATCTGAGATTTGATGTTCAACGTCGGTATCTGTTGATGTTGAAGGGATTTCGGATGACGTATCAAATGAATGCGAATGATTTTGAACATCTCGAATATTGTCTAGTTCAGAAGATTGATCTTGCAACAATTCCTTAAGGTGATTTACGGGATCAAGGAGGTTCTCTTGTTGTCTCTCGTCTGTTGTAAATTTAAGGAATTCGATTGACTCGACTTCAAGAAAATTCTCATTTAACTCAACAGGTTTTTCACTAGGCAATTCTAGATCCACTTTTTCGATATTGGTATCGCTCGTCACATTGCTTTCAACATTGGTATCATTCGTCACATTATTTTCAATGATTTCGAGTTGAGTATTGTCCTCGGTTCCTGAAACGGAGTCAGGAATGTAACTGAGCTTAAGCGGTGACGATACTTTTGAAGAATATGGTACGCGCGGCGAAACGTCTGAGTGCGTTTGGTGTTCGTCGATTAATGTTGAATAAACTTGATTCAATGATGTTTGGACTTTTGCAGTATTATCTCGGTCCGAAGAAGGTTCGTTGTTTTGAAGAGAAGGTACCATAATTTGCTTTAATCGTGATGTGGCAATAATCAGAATTCAATATAATTTTACACGAACTCCTATCTCAGATGTGCTGTAACACGTCAATAACAGGTTTTCTTAAATTCCTTCCATTGTATCTCACCCCCTTCCACATATTCTAAGACTTGTGGTTTGAAGTTTTGAGAAGAAAGGAATATTTGATT